ACCAACAGTGGTCATGAATGTCATTAACATTTTCCTAATACTATCTAAATATTCCAAATAGTAGAAAATCAGCACACTGCTTTCTTTAACATGTAAAATTAAAATACTTAAAGGCAATCATAGAAGGTGGGTACATTTCTAGGGGTCTGACAACATATTGCCCTTTTCTTGCCTTTACGTACTAAATACTTTGGAAAAATTAACACATCCATATACCTGTGATTTTTCTTTGCTTTTCACTTCTTATTTAAATGTACATTTTGGGTAACTTCAGAACTTGTATGCCAGTCATCTGCGTGTAACTTGTACCATGTCACAGAATGTAATCATGTGTTTTTTTATTTTTCTAACAATTCCATTTCTCTCTTTCATTTTCCCATTTTCACTCTTCAACGGACACAATCGATAGCGTTGGTCAAATCGGAAGCGCTTAAGTGCTAGCAAGGTAAATACATTTTTTTTTTCTTCTGTAGCTTGCTTGGTTAAATCTTCATCTTTGTAGCAAAAACTAATGTTTACATAATTGATATTTTCCAACCTTTACTAGCAATGCCATTCTTTACTTCTTACTATTACAACAAATCAGGGAACAACTTTACTTTAAAATGTAATTAAATAAAGGCATTGCCAGATATTTGAACTTAACATGTTTGTGTGGTGACATTTTACACGTACATCCATGTTAGAATTTTACACTTCATTAAGCTTGCATTATTTAAAGTGTTATGTGGTTGGTTACCTTTAGTCCTTAGGAAGTTATTTACCATTAGATGAAAACCATCATTATTCTTATATTAGCAATCTACAAACTGAGGAGAAAATATCAATTTTATTTTCTGAAAAGGGGCATTTATATATGTGTATTTTTTTAGTTTTGCTTAGAATTTCTCTAAAGAATTCTTTATGTAGTACTGGTGGCTTTCTGTATGGTTGGCATATAGCACCACCAATAAGACAGAGGTATCTAACTTATAAATGTACAAGTATACCAAGGTTGGAGTGCTTTCTTACTTTAACAATTTACCAATAATGTTTAAATAAGCAAGTCATAACTTAGGTGAATAAATGTGAAAGTGTTTCTAGAAAGAAACAAAACCTAGACAGTTTTGTAGCTTAATGTAGTAGCTATCTTAAAAGAGAAATAATCAACAAAAATTATATTAAATAATGTAATGTTTCAGGTTCTGCGTCCAGTTAGCGTTCTGAACAGCATGTGCTGTACCCGTGGGCTGCCTCAGCAGTGCCTGGGTAGCATGCGCACTGTGTATAAGCTACATACGTGGATATGTACATCCAGCCCAAATTTCTAACCTCATTGTGCCTCAGTTGCCTAATTTTCTGTTACCTGAGGAGTTGTTAGCAAAGCTTCCAGCTCAAAAATGTTGCGATGTGTATGTGTGAGGGTGGGAGTTTGAATTAAAAAATCTATTGCTTTTGGAAATCCAACGGTACCAAGTTCTGATGTATACCTGCTAAAACGTACATGCTTTGTGTTTTGAACACTTTTATAGATAACTATGGAAAGATGATTTGTTATTATACAAGTTCACTTGGTTCCTGAGACGCTGGCTCTTTGTGGAAACAAAATTAAAAGATGATAAACAATAATATGATCCTGTCTCAAAAATTCCTCCAACTTTTGCTTTATTCCTTTATAGTCACTAGAGGGTAGAAGAGCATCACTCTCGCCACAGAAGGAAGTGTATCCCTTGCTCTCTGATATTAAGAGTTCCTGTAACCACCCCAAGCAGTAAAGTTTCCCAGAATGCTTTGGTGAAACCTGACAAAGCAGTATTTTCTCGTTTATTGATTCTGCAGCTGCACTAAAACCCTGGTACTGTACATCAATAACCATCTTTAGTTAGGGAGCTTCGGTCTGTGGAAGAGTACTGGCAGTTTGTGGAAGAACATAAAGGCTAGGAAGAAAAATTGTGAGCTTGGGGAATATTGGAGTCCCGGGAGGATAGGAGAGGTTATAGAAGAATGGCCAGAGGGGTAGAAAAAATGTTGACGGCTTGGATAAAGACATCAAAAATATGAAGGGAACAGAGGATCTAGAGAGCAGTAT